GAGGCTCAACCCGCTCTTCGGGATTCGGGAACTTTGGTTCGGGCGGTTCAAACCGTTCTTCGGGCTTCGGGAGCTCGGGAGACTTCGGATCGTCGGGACGTTCCAGCGGAAGGAGGAGCAGTTTCGGAGACATTGGAGGCTCCGACGACGGCCAAAGCTTCGGAAGAAGATCCTCCTACTGATGAAAGAAAGCAACGTCGAAGTGGAACCTCCGTCTCAGTTAGTGTGTTTACATTTTTTTTTGGGTATTCTTTTTGGTCCTTTTAATGTAAGCTTGCTACCTTATCTTAAAGTGTTTATGCATATGTACTGACAATGGTATAAGCATCCTCCCTGAATTATGGAAGCATTTACCTTTCATTTCTCATAAAAACACAACTTAGATTTTCATATCATAATTGTATGTTATATATGAAAAATATAAATTATGTGGCCGAAAATGCAATTCATATCCGTTTTTTTTTTGTTTTTTTTTTTTTGTAATTAATGGCCAAAGCGAAACCAACCAAATAATATAATATTATTCGCACGTTATTTCCAGCCTGGCATCACATTACAAAAAAAAAATCAATTGGGTCTTCCATCTTGACGCCCACGCATCTAGTTTCCATTTCCAAACTCCTTGCCCTCCAAGAAAAAAAAATTCTACACCGCCATTGAAGGCTGAGGAATGACTACTATACCCTCCGTCAAAGCAAAATATAGGACGCAACTTAGGGATGTAACTGGAGGCATTATTGTCAATTTTTAAAATATCTCCCCATGTACATCGAATGTGATAACCAACTTTGCCACTTGTCATCATCCTGATACGCCAACGTAATCGCGTTCGATCGCTGACCGTTCGCTCGCTTGGTATAAAAGCCCTTGCTCGAGACCTCGTCCCGTGCGTGACGACAAAGAAACACCAAAACAGAAAGAAGAACAAACCCGACCTGATTTCTCCTACAAACCCTAGATTCCCGGATTTGCTTCGATTTCTCAGTCCGATTGATTCGTATTCGATCACAATGATGATGAGTCGTGGTGGAGGAAAGCTTGCCTCGTCGTTAATGGCGGGGGGGGG